CTCAAACCGCGATACGATAAGATTCAAATCCATTTTTTTCCATAGTATCATCCTGAACGTATAAGGTAATCGTGGGGTATATTCATGTTGTTAATTAGAAATTTTTATACATATTTTATCGGTAATATACAATATAATTATTATACAACGTGTACAGTTTTGTAATAAACAATAGTTAACAAAACAATGAGAACACTATACTCGAATCGGTTAATGTTAAATATGTTTGTGCAACAACTGTGAGTGTGCACATTGACTTCTAACGGCTGTTTAACAAACAACGAGAAAACTGAAAATAATATTTTACAGTCATATGTTGTACTAAATTAAATATAAATGAAAACTTTCAAAGCGGTAAATAGTAATAATAACATAATATTCGACTGTGGGAAAAAAGCGACGCCTACAACATAATATATTGTGTAATTATTATCGTTTTACCGGTCGAGTTGGGATGTATCAATTATTGTTTTACTGTATATATTTTTTTTTTCATTCGATTTGGCACGACGTCGACGATGACGATGGCGGCTCGCATGTAGGTCAAATTTCAAAAGTATTTAAAAAAAAAAAAATTGTCTCGTGTGTGATTAGTTTATATTTTACTGTCTGCGCGCGTGTGTGTGTCAATGTTTACTATATTTATAGCCTAAAAAATAACATTTCTCGGTTTTGAGTTTTCTTTTAGCTGCGAAGGAATTGTTTTTTTTTTTATTTCAATTGTTTATACGGCGGCAAACCTCCTTGACCTTAGGCTTTCGGTAAACTTCTAAACCTTTCCGGTCCACTGTCATCTAAGTGTTTACAATAACAAAACAAATTAAAATACAATTTTTTCGCGTGTCAAAGAACTCTGTTCAAGTTGACTAAACTGCAGATAACCGCTGCCATCTTCCCGTGGAACATCATCATCATCATATTATTATACACACTGTCGACCTTGGACAATATAATGATTCCATTTTTGAAATTCGATCCTAGTTACAGAGATCCGTTCGCTTTTACTATAATACATATAATAGCTCCAAACCGGTTAGCCTGGTCTTTTCCACACAGCACAGCGCACATTGCCCAAGTCGGTCAAACCGTCGTCGTCACGGTTACTCGTTTTGAAAACGTCCACTACAAGTTACCAATGTGTGCACAGCTTGAAGGTTTTTCAATGACATGAAATTTTGTTTGGAAAAAAAATAAAAATAAAAGTCAGCACTGTGGGGTCGGGGCCGAATGAGTTCGTTGTAGTCACAGGACTATTAGGTAGGATCTATTATTATAACCGAGAATGATGAAATGTGCGCTTCCACGCTAATCTATACGACGGTAATGATATTAAACATCGGTAAAAATGTTCATTATAAAGACAATAATAGTGTTGCTGCTCGAAATCGTATTATTATTAGGATAGATAAGATTATCAATATTGATATAAAACAAAATGTAAAAAATGCTTTGTTATAACGAATAGTGTAAATTTTTGCTAGAAAACGTTTTCGATCCCTGACAATCATCATTTTCTATTGTGTTCAATAAACACACTGCACAGCCCGTTTTCAAGTGTCCTTAGAAGGGCAGTTATTCATCATTTACCCAATTCAGATTGTACTTTAGTTTAAGCCAAACACCCTACGACAAATGGTATTTTCCTGTATTGTAAATCTCTCAAAGTCTTAAGACTCGGCTGGCCTAAATCCGTCTCATCAAGTTCTTTGGGACATTTCAAGATAGAACATTTATTATTCTCTGTTATCATAGTCATTTATAATTAATATCCCTGCCTGGTTAGTTATTCACGAAAGCAATGTTTTTTAATCATGTTTTCTATTGTAAACAATACTATAGTAGTTTGAATTTGAACATGTGTAGTGTGGCAAAAATAATAAAACAGTTTTAGGTTGGTTTTTTTTTACTTTGTTACCTATGTATTTATTTTTAATCACTTTTTACCTTAGTTATTTATATATATTTGAGTTTAAATTTAGTTTAACCTGTCGATTGGGTTTTCCATCGGTACAAAAATCGAACTCTTACTCTTTGTAGTGTAACAAAACCGCACCCAAAATTGTGAGCACTCAAAATATGTATAAATACAAATTGCAGTTGGTTACATTGTGTCTAACTGTTAAAACTCTATTAAATATTCCAGGCACTAGCACAGAGACGGAAAAATCGTGCTTGGCAAGTAGCTATCGTTAAAGTCATAGTTATCGAGTCGAATCATGATTTCATAGATTCAAAATATAATAATTAAAGAGGTCATAGGTCTAGTTAACATAAAAAAACAAACAGGATCTTTGTATTTTTTTAACCCAAAAATGTACTTATACATAATTATTATTCATAATATATTTATAAATGTTATATAAAAAAAAAGTAGTTTTATATATAGGTATTTTTATTATTTAATCGATTGTCTGTTTTCTGATGCGAAAAATCAATTTTTACCAAAAATTATTTGGCTTAAGAAAAATTAAAAATTAACTTGGCAACTTTTATTTAAATAACAAAATAATGAACAAATAATGGGTTTTATGGAATACATTTTTTTAGCTAGCGCAACAAATTGTTTTTTTTATTAATAAGAAACAATTGATTAGATAGACATTTTCATTTGAGAAGTATATTTTTTAAAAAGTGTTATTTCAATTTAAAAAAATATTTTAGTAAACAATTTTAAAGTTATTGGAAATTATTACCTAATTGGATCTTTGAATGGAACACAAATTAAACATGTATTTATTATTTGTATTTGTATTGAATACATTTTTATTTTAAATCGTTTTTCCATTTAATAATGGCCAGGTTTAACGCCAATGTAATATTTTATTTACCTGTTTTGGATTACAATTTTAACGGACAACTATTACACGTTTATTTACAAGATCATAGATATTTTTTTTAATGATTCCTGTTTAACTCATTCGATTATTTCACCGTTCGCTAATTAACAGATTTCAGAGAGTGTGTTTAACGTTTATGATTGCATAAAACGAATTAACAGTCATTAATCGGTTCAATAAAAGTTATGCAATTGAAAAATTAACTAAACGCTTCTTATTATGGAAACCGAAAACAATACCTAGTTAACGCTTAACCTTAATGAATATTTGTTTTTTCCGTTTGAAGAAAAAATAAGTACACATCTCTTAAAATAAATAACTATTAATTATCTATTTACACGTATAATAATAGATATAAATAATATATAAAAATAGATACAATAATATAGAAATATAATGATATAATTATAAATAAAGTATATTATAAGCTTCTCACGGAAAATTAAATTTCGTTTTATTACATTAAACACCATAGAATAACATAATATTTCAAAACCAAACTGATTAAACACTAAAAAAAAAATTGATCCATCAAATGACAGAACTTAATAATTGGGAATTAGCATTTAAACAATTATAATTGGCTTTTTCTTGTAGTAATGGATTTGCAGGTTTGGCTGTTATATATATATAATGAACGTTGGGTGTATACCTTAAAAACTACCAACACAATCCGAACACTTCAAAGAATGTACTTGGCTTTCAATAATAATATGATGAAGGTGAACTCCACTTTATGACGTCGCATTGACTGCTATAACTCGTATTGCGTGTCGAGATTATTATTTCTATACAACCGGTATGGTTATTAATTATTATTATGTTACAGTCTTTTAAATATTCATTAAAACAATTTACCATGACTTAAATAAAACTGATATTATAATATGCCCCGGTTTGCTTTTGAGTGTCGCACTAAAGCTGAATTTCTTATGTAAGACCAAAATTAATTTTTAATTAATATTTTGTGAACAGTAAAAAATACAACACCCTAAGAATTGCAAATAATAATATTGGGAATAAAATAAAATTTAAAAATAGGTTTTTATGTCTTGTCCACTGTAGACAGTGTTTTCTCATCGAAGAGATTTGTTGTTTTACAATAATGCTATTTATTTTTTTGTAACCTAACCTGCGACAATGAAGGAGTGGTGTTTTACTAGCGTTAAAATGCCAACTGAATTTTGTAATTAAACGGTCGAAATTGTGATTTTCCAATTAGGGCAGCATGTGATCAATCGGCTGTTGTAATTGTGTCCCCGTTTGCAGTGTACCTACCGATTAGAGCACGGCTATGATGTAACAAATTTAAAAAAAATGCACTGTCGTGTTCTATTCAACCGTACTAAATGATAACATCCTCATTGTCTAGCCTATTATCTGTAATAAAATACAGTAGGTCAGATTTCGTTTTGCACCGCAGCAACACGCTTGCTATTGTAAATTGTTCTATTAGTTAAAAGTAACAATTTATGTCTTCGATCGTGTTCTGCCGTATTTGTTTAATCGTTGAGCAATTATTGGTAAAGAGTTCTTGGAGAAAATTCGTACCGATTTAAAATGTTGGTTATAGGCGCCAAATCGATTTTACTGTATATATACCATTTACCGTACGGTTACTAAAAGGTTACCATCGAGGTAACCACAGATTATAATCGTTGTCATCACAAGTATCAGCTGTGTTCATATCTAATCAATCCACCTTGAGTCCATATGTATTTATATAATAAACCAGATTGCTAACTAGTGATAAGAATTGAAGTGGATGTCCGCCATTTTTATGAGATTTATGTGGTATAAAATAATATATACATATTTTCATGTGACAAGGTTCTAATTCCCACAAAGACGTCGGAAAATGGTAACTTCAATTATCTCTAATGGAGGGATGTACGCTTGGTAATCTATTTTATTAAATATATCAAATATAGGTCCGACATTATTATGAATTATGAGAATGGCGCGCATACAATTTTTTTTTTTTTAATTTACTTTTTGATCAAAGACTTTTGAATTTTGTTTTGCCCGACAAAATGTTTACCTGATTTAAACGTTATGAACACACGATCAGCTGATTGTGCATTTTTGGGATCTGAAAAATATATTTGTGACCATCAATGCCGGAAGATAAAATATACAAATTACGTTTCTGTTGTGTTGCAGGGCGCTGTGCCGTTATTTCTATTTCCTGTACACCGCGAAAAAGTTGGAAAAATCCAACTGGACCGTCGCCGACTTGTTCAAGAACACCGTTGTCAAGAATACACCGAATAAAGTGATATTCTTTTTCGAAAATAAAGAATGGACCGCGTTGCAAGTGAGTGTTTAAAAAGTTACCCGTTAAAGGTTCTAAAAAAAAAACCCCTTTAAGTTAACCAATTCACGCAAGACACATTATTTAATTATTGGCTTTTTTCCTCTAACATTTTTCAAGATCAGACAATAATTTTGTCGATTTTTTCTCCATTAATTGTTAGTTTTGTAAAATTGTGGTTTTTTTTCTTAGAAAGAAAAAATATAATACTTTGACTCATATGAACCGTTATTAATGACATATTGAACCGCACCGTAGTAAAAAAACATTATCATGATTTTTAAGGTAAAATATAATGGTTTTGTAATGGTACTCCTGTGGGGATGGAAGTGGGGGTACTTCAAAGGGAAAGTTTTTATTTTGCCTCTAAGACTATTTTGTTTTAAGTTAAAACAAAATGACATTATTTAATAGATCTTTCAAAAAAATTAATTTTCGTTCAAAACTAAGTGTTTTATTGATTTTTGAAAATGTACTTTGCTGATATGTCAGAATAAATAGTTTAATTAGATGTCTCATATTATACGATATGTGCTTCTTCCCTCCTTCCAACACATTCAATCAATGGTATCATAAGGAATATTATAATATTTAAAGTAATGACAAAAAACGATTATAGACGTTTAGTTGGCATCAATTTAATAACTTCAAAATGGTTTTTTTTTTTTTGAAAGTTGGATAAAGTGACACATTAGCTTGTGCTATCCTATACCACAGATATATGTTAGATAAAAAAAATCTAAGAGCTGTCAAACCAGTTTAAAAAGTAGATAATACATTAAAAAAAAAACAGTTTTGCGCCTGAATAAAACATATTTTTCCTTTTCGGTTGATTTAAAGGTATTCTCTTCCAATTAAGCTGACATAAATAATGAGCTGGAATGTTAATTCTGCCATACGTTGGCCGGCATACCAATTGAACCAGGTGAAAACTGTCATTTGTACGGCATTTCCAATGTTAATCAGAGATATTAAAGACACTGTTTTCGACATTGCAGCTGATAAAAATGTTGACACCCTATTTCATGTAATTTTTTATCCAACTTTCGCCACAACTCGGAGATAAATAACTTTAAACATTTTTAAACTAAAAAATTTTGAATATTTTTTCATCTCGAAATTAGTCAGCATATTTTTAAAAGGGCTATTTGATAACTTTTTCAAAATTTGCCTATCCTTTGCCCCTTAATAAATAGCCAATTTTTCAGCCAATTGATTTTAGTTTAAAAAGTTAAAACAATTTTATACGTTACCATCGTTTGCTGTTAAACTAACCAATCTAGACCGTTGTCTATATTATCTCTAACCTGACTCAACCCAACCCAAACTGTGTTTTCAAATTGATTAACCCCCTCTTATAGCTAAGTAATTACTTATAATATTCTGACCTCGTGTTTGCCTGTCCAGGTGGAAGAGTACAGCAACAAAGTGGCCAACGCCATGTTGGAGAGCGGTTTCAAGAAGGGAGACGTTGTCGGTCTCATGATGGAAAACCGTCCAGAGTTCGTGGCCACCTGGTTGGGCATGTCCAAAGTGGGCATCGTATCGGCTCTCATCAACTACAACCTCAGACAAATATCGCTGGCCCATTCGGTCAACGTGGCCAACTGTAAATGCCTGATATACGGCTCCGAGCTGATTGAGGGTACGTTAAAAAGACAAAAAAACAAATACATTTATAAATTAACGTTTGCTGCATTTGCACTATTTCAGACATTGAAGAAATCAAAGACAAACTGCCCAACAACATCAAACTGTTGGTGTGGTCTAGCGGTTCGGTACCGGCCAACGACGACACCTACTTAAACAACCTGGTGGACAAGTCGCCGGCGACCGTACCTAACCCGCCGGAGAAGCCGGGCATCCGCGACCGTCTGCTGTACATTTACACATCGGGCACGACCGGTTTGCCCAAAGCTGCGGTCATCACCAACATTAGGTGCGGGTCAATAATAATCGTTTGCGGTAGAACGTTATGGAACACTAAGAAGTACCGATTGTTCGGTTACGATAGGCCCCTCTTGTGTTTCTCTAAAAACATAAATTAAGGACGGCACCTTTTTCGGCCAAACTGCTAACAACCGATTGCCTTTTCGGTTATTTCAATTTCAACTTGTGTTATACAGGTCTAACACCCCTAGTTATTTTTTCTGGATGGCCAATCTGATATTTTGATAATGTATTAAATATTAAAAAAAATTACCCGTGTAAATTTTTTTTTGATTGATCGATAACAAGTTTTGAGTTACTACTTTTATAGTTATTAAAGTTTAAAATTAAGAATGGGCGATGGAGTGCATTTGAGTAGTGCACACAGTTAAAAAATAATACTAAATTCCACCCTTCCTCCGGTCCTAAATTATAAACTCTATTAAGCGTTGAAAGTAATGACTGAAACCATATAGAGGCAGCACAAACAAAATCTCAAGAATATCCCATGCAAGTTGGGAATTATATTAGATTGTTTTCAATAAAGTTATATAGTGTGCCGTAATTTTAAGATGAAAAGTGTGAAATTCTTAAAAAATTGTTTAAACAACTTTAAATTTTTGGCTCTATAATGTACATTTTGTGGAATTTCTGATCTGTAGGCTTGGTATGAAAAATTATTATTTCCAAATATACCGTAGCTCCGTTTTACTTATAAATTTTATTTAATTATAATTGACGCGTTAATTATATTTTATGTAGTTCTACGACATCTTATTGTTATTAACCAACTAATTTTTTCCAGATACATGTTCATCGCCGGAGCCACATCGTATCAATTGGGTTTCAATTGCACTGATCGGTTTTACACACCTATGCCGCTGTACCATACGGCTGCAGGCGTTCTGTGCATCGGTCAAGCCCTTATGTACGGTTGCAGTGTGGTGATTAGGAAAAAGTTTTCCGCTTCCGGTTACTTCCAGGACATTGCCAAGTACAACTGTACCGTAAGTATTCCATCCGTCCGGTGGCACAGATGTCTGAACAGTTCCCTAAATATTAATATTCCTTCTAACTGTTTGGTCATTGTGTCTCAAATACCCTCCCACTTATCTCACGTGACTCAAGTTTCATGTTAATGTGTTACTTTCAGGCCGCTCAGTACATCGGTGAAATGTGCCGATACATATTGTCCACTGATCCCAAACCCGAAGACACCAACCACAAGCTTAGACTGATCTTCGGCAACGGACTCCGACCTCAGATTTGGAAAGATTTTGTTAGCCGGTTCAACATACCGAGAGTGGCCGAGTTTTATGGATCCACCGAAGGAAACGCCAACATCGGTAACGATTGTATTCTGTTGACTTGAATATGTCCTATGTGGCTTGTGACACAAAGGGAGGCCTGGAAGGCCAGGGGTGGGATGGTGAGAAGTGTGGAGGAGGTGGTGATGGGATCAGCTGACGTGAGATGAACGATAAAGGAATCGGCACATGTCTTTAAAACTAATTTTAAATGTCTTGGGCATTTTTGTAGTCTTATTTTCTTCTCAAATATATATATATGTGTTCATAATTTTTGACAGCAAACATTGACAACACTTTTGGATCGATTGGCTTCGTGTCCAGAATATGCCCGAGCATCTATCCAATTACGATCATCCGTGTCGACCCGCTTACCTGTGAACCGATCCGAGACGCCAACGGCCTCTGCATGAGATGTGAACCAGGTAAAATATTTATTTTTTTTTTTTTTTGAACTAGTCATGTCAAATTTCTAACCGATATAAATTTCGATTTTTCCCTCCAGGTGAACCCGGAGTGATTGTCGGTAAAATCAACGACACCAACCCGTCCAGACAGTTCCTGGGCTACGTAAACGATAAGGAATCCGAGAAAAAAGTCGTCAGAAACGTGTTCGAGAAAGGAGATTCAGCTTTTTTGTCGGGTTAGCGTCGGCGTCGAATTATCCGATTATTAAGTTGTATTTGAATTATTTGTTTTGTTTTTTTCTAGGCGATTTGCTTGTATGCGACGATCTTGGTTACTTGTACTTCAAAGACAGAACCGGCGACACTTTCAGGTATATTAAAAAAACTGATCACATATATATATACTTTTTTCCGGTTAAAATATTGTATTCATTTTTTTAAATTTATTTACTTTAAGAGCCTTTCCACACGCCTACTACTTTATTTTAATGTGGTTTTTTAATTGCCATCAGTTTGGTTTTATCACTCGTTAATGCGTCTGAATATTGTATATAATAATTCCACATATCGTCTAACGCGGTTTTTATAAAGTTGAATTTTTAATAAAACGTTTATCATTTTGGCAGTTACACTTATATTTTATTTTAAATCAAATTTTTCTTGATAAAATAGACAGATAAAAATAATTTGACCGATGAATAAATTTGATCTTTTTCGTGTAAAATCTATTGTTTTAATCATTTCTTTTTTTATCAACTGTGTTGACATTTTTCGTTGATAATTGACTTTGGTGTTGTCCCGTTTCAGATGGAAAGGTGAAAACGTATCTACGGCAGAGGTTGAAGGTGTCGTCAGTAACATTGCCGGTTACCGCGACAGTGTTGTCTATGGCGTCGAAGTAAGCATATACATTTTTATATTAAACTTAAAACAGTACCGTCTTTTGACGTGTCTTGTAAATAGATACTATTGAATACTCTCAATAAGTATTTCCATTGGTTTTAATGAGTCAACTACTAACAACACTGCCGTTTGATTGTCTTCAGGTACCTAACTCCGAGGGACGCGCGGGCATGGCGGCGATAGTGGACAAGAACAATACGCTGGATATGGCAAGCTTGGCCGAAGGACTGAAAAAAATGTTGCCCGGCTACGCTCGACCATTGTTCATCCGGAAACTCATCGAAGTCGAATTGACCGGTGAGTCTTGTCGGCTCAGACTTTGTAACCCGTCAATGTGCCGTCCAGGATTTTTTAGTGGGACTGGGGCAGGAGGGTGCTATCAAAGGGTTTAAAAAAAAAACCTTATAGAAACTTGACTGATTAGAGAAATTGCAAAAAGCATTATTATCCGTGCTTCAACTGGGGTTTTTATTAAATTTGTAAAATGTATTTTAAACAAATTTGAAATAAACTAAGGTAAAATTGTTTAAAATATTTCATTCAAATTTGTATTTTTTGCAGGCACTTACAAACTGAAGAAGGTGGACTTGCAAAACGAAGGATTCGATATGGACAAGATTAAAGATCCGTTATACTTTATGAACGATAAAGGAAACTACGAGTTGATGACTGCAGAGACGTATGAAAAAATCAAGGACAACCAAATCCGGTTTTGAAAAAGCCGAAAACCACGTTAGTCGTCGACTGTGTTGTCGTGTGTGAATGTGTACGTAGGCTCTCTACGTTTCTTTTTCTTTCGTAACTAAACATTTTTTTCTTCGATATCGTACTTCTTTTCTTAATCGTAATCAAAAATTGTAGAATCAACAAACTTTGAAAAGAATAAAAAAAAAATACATATAAGATAAAACGGAAAAGACTCCACGATTATTTTAATATATTACAAATAAAAAAACCAAAAAACTTTTTTTTTTTGTAGCGTGATTAATTTTTTTTTTTGTAATCTGTCGCTTAACATTATTGTTTAAGTATAATTTTTTTGTTTGTAATATTTTTGTTTTTGACAACTTTATTTTGTACAGGTGCATTGTATATAATTTTACTACCCTATATTATTATATTATGATTGATCTTATGAATATATTATTATTTTTATTGCAACGACATCTGACATGAATTGAACATCGATTGATTATTACCGAAACAAGAGGAGGAATGTTTTTATTTTCTTCTAAATAATATTATTAAAAGCAAAACGACTGTTTAACTTGCAATATTGTATTCAACAACTCTTTAATTGTAAGCAATAGTGAAATTATTATCGTTGTAAGACAAACCTTAAATGTATTATTATTATTATTATTGTTTGTAGTAGTATTGTTTCAACGAGTAAAACTTTGTGTGTATAATTAATATTATTATTATTATTTGTATTTGTTTATGTTATTTTGTATGATAGTACAGTGTTACCCGGAAGTTATGCGTTTTTATTATTATTATAACAAACTGTAAAGTAGTTTAATTATAAAAATATTATGTTTTTGGTCATTACTGCTGTAACAACCGTTTGTGTTGTTTGCTTTGTGCCACTTTAACATGACAATGACAACAGTAGTCAAAAAAAAATTTTCATTTTCATGTTTACATACCGTTCTTAAGAAAATCTCAAGTCACTTAACAAAAAAATTATAATAAAAATGATGTAAGAATAATTATAATTATCTACCAATTTATTTATTTAATTTCAAATCGATTGTAAATCCAATACTAAAATAAATTTGTCTTTTGAAGGAGAGACATTGAGTCTTAAGACGTATAATATGTCTAATGATCAGCTGAATCTCATTGTTTTAAGATTTCTTCCCCTCCCTTCCCTTTCATCTTTAAATATATGCATGTATATTTGACCCCCAGCTAATGAGATATACCGTATCTATATAGATATGTATATCTTATATAGATTTATATAAGATATATATAACTTACATTTATATCAATATAACGCAGAAAAGTTTATGTTAACAAAATTCTAGGTGACTTGCAATAATTATATGTAGTAAGTTTTTCTATTACAAGAGTCTGTTAAGTACCTAAAAACAATGTAGGTATTAATAGCTGTTGTCGGTTGCTATTACAAAATGCAATTAAAATGTTTTGTTTAAGATACTATTGATGTACAAAGATAGTGTACAAAAACTTAATCACCTTTTAGCCTTGTCCTTGAGTGTACTTTATACTTTTTAATTAAATTAACAGAACAAATTATGGTTTACTTAAACGTTCTGTGCACAATTTAAACACAAATGTATATTTTTGCAGTAATAAAAATGTCGGAAAACATTTCAACATTAATTCTTAACATGGTAATAAATATAAAGTGTGTTCTAAAGTAAGTACTTTTTAATATTATAATTAATAATAATGTAGAGTGTGCATACTTGGAAAAACTGTTCATTGCCATTGAGTTTGTATAATGTCATATTGAATTCACACCATTACCAATTTCCACAATACATATTTTATTTGTTGGTCCATTTTTTTAAACACAGATGAGATGTAGACAGAATATAGGAGTATTGTTCGTTTTTCATTTTCATTTAATGATTCTGATACAATAAATTATGTTGTATTTTTTAATAAAACATAATTTGATATTGATAATAATTATAAAACGATGGCAAAAACAAACTCTTGGGAATAGAAAAAAACGCGTAAAGAAGTAATATGTAGATTATTAAATCATCTTATATTTACACAGGAAAACGTTATTTCAACAGGAAAAAACGTTACCCCTCCCCACTCAAATTTGAGAAAAACTCCACTAAAAAGTGTAAACATTTATCAGTGGAAAATTGATGACAGAAATCTTTTATCAAACTTGATTGGGTAATTCACATGATATAGTAGGTACTTAAACGAATAAAGTGAAAAACCAAGAAATTATCGTTTCCCAGAAGGAGTGGACATTTTCTTTTAGCCTTAATCTTAGGACTCAATGTCTATACATTAGGTAAATTTAGTGTGACCTCATAATGCAATAATATGCAATTTATTCAGGAATCAGATGGGACTTTGGAGTTAGAAATAAAAAAATTATTACTTAACTAATTACTTAATTCGATGTAGTAATTTTGGTTTTTTTTACAATATTCCAAATCGAATTGTCGAAAATGTTAAAACTGTAAAAATGTAACAAAATCAAACAATACGTATAAATACCATGGCTATAAAACTGGTTACATTCAAATTGAACAGATCTACAATTTTCCATCGAAGCGTTTATCTGAAAGTGATTGTATCATTTTGATAAACATGGCGAGCGACAGTGTGACCACTTTTTATGGGAAAAAAAATACTGCACAGTGTAATCGTTATTAACTGGAGAAATTTAATTTCGTCATTCCGGTCACACTGCAGCTCGCCTTTTCGTTCGCTTTGTAATATGTTTTACTTATTGCCACCCCTTTGGAGTGTACGGTTATTGATCCCTCCGACTCGTTGGCCACAACTACAAGAGGGGTCGGTGGGAAGCTGAATAAATCAAGACCCTTTACAAACTACAAAATCTACTTGAACCTTTTGGCAGAACTCAACTATAACCTCACCGTTAGGTTACACAGCAGTGTCGGCGACGATTCACATCATCATGGCCATGACCGTCTTGAGTTTGCACGTTTCTGTCGCGACTCTTTTGTAGATCTTCGACGGGGCTTTGCAACGCAATTGTTCCAGTAATTCTCCGTTGTGGTCGATTACACTGAAAGCGTTTGCAAAATGTCCAACAGCGCCATCGTGGTCCCTGTTGGCCATACATTGTTCGGCTTTTTCCACCTGAAACACGGGTACTTGATATAATCTACTCGTGTATCAACTGTACGGTGTACAATAACAACAACAACAGCTCAGCACCTGTTGGAAAACGAATTTTCTCACCGCCTTTCTATTGCGAACCGATGGAAACGTCAGCAAATTATGTTCCATTTGCTCTCTGTCCATAAGACCATAAGCTTCGGACTCCTTTGGTGTTTTATGTATTGTGTGTGTGTAATATAGTATTCTATTTTGGGCAATGAAGTCTGTTTAAAAAATTATACTAGACAAAACACATTTTTTTAGATATAATAAACAACTGCCGACAATGTTTCACCTGGTAACGGTCTTAGGTACATACTTTTAAACTGCCGAAATGAGCAATAATAAATTTACAGCGGCTACTTTTTTTTTATTATTATTAAAATTTAACATTATTAACAGTTAACCAATTAGTTTTGTCTAAACCATACGGTAGAAAGTAAAAATCAGTTAAATATAATATTTATCAACGTCCAGCAGTGATAAATTATTAAATATTTTTATTTGTACCTCATTGACCCGTTGGTCAATTCAATTATTGTAAAGGGGAACCTCGGTAAATAAGTGTTGTACATGTTATTAGTTAAGCTATTTGAATGATTGAATGACAAAAGCAGCTCTTGAGTTCCATCTGTGGTCTAATTCATCAAAATGCAACCTTACACCACGCCATACTGCTATGAATTTCTTATTCTTATTTTGTAATTATTCTAATGCTTTGAAAATCCAAATAAAAATGGTATCGATTTTACAATAAAGAGAGTTATTATTTTTATTTTTTTGTACGGTTTTATTTGTTCAATAACATTTTGTTCATCATGTCATTACTATAAATTATCTAATATAAATTAGTACATGATAATTGGTTAACTATGTGACCCAGATAACATATTAGAAGACTTTTACCATTTTAAAAACAATTTTTATAGTTGCTGGTTTTATGCCCAACAAAAATTGTTTTAAAAATTATATTTTACTATTCGTGATAGAAGAAAAAGTTTTCAAATGATTTTATTAATATTATATAAATGCTAGCAACATGAACTAGGTACCTATACTTTTTAAAGTATCAAATTCTATAATACTGCAACGGTGTTTACACAGTTTGTACATATACCAACAATTGAACATTACGGCTTGGTTGAGGTTTTTGTAGATTTTTTAGTTGTAAAAAAATTATGGGGGATTTTTAACGTTACTATTATTATTTCTATATCAAATAAAGTATGAAGTAAAATTGTAAGAGAATATCAGTAAAGTCAAATTCTGATTAAACTATATAAGTAGCTTCTACAAACGCTTGTAATAGTAGCGAGAATTAAATTAATGCTTCATAGGTAGTTGCATCACTTTCGGGCCCTTTTAGTTACATACCTTAAAATGGTATGATTTTCCAATCAAAGAGACAATTTTTTTCTTATGTATGCTTGAAACAAAAAAACGAATTGTCAATATAAACGTCTTCCAAATATGGAACATTAAAGAGGTTTTCTTGCTTATAATATGTTAACGATTAAAGTTCATATTTATTTTGATTCTTTTTCGAATGGAATTGTGTCGAAGCAGAATCGGTAGGACAAACAATTCTACATCATAAATGCTTCGATGCAAATCAGTAGTAGGTATTTTCAAGACAGTGCAGTCCAAACTAAGTACAGTGTAAGCTAACAAAATTAGAAAGTATTAAATTGAGGTGCTGTGTTTCAATTTTAGTTGCTATAAATTCGTGAAAAATTGTCTGATCGAGTGGACATTTTTATCTAACATTTAATAGGCATGCTTATTCTCAAATTATTTTCAATCCAAAATATCAATTCACTTCTTCCCTGGTTTTAGACTGTGTTTAATAATAACCAATAAGGAATCCCGATTGTCATATTGATAAGCTTACACTTAAGTTTAATTTCTAAATAATTAAGATTTTGCAAAAAAAAAAAATGCTCATGTTTACTCAACACTTTATGTTTACTTGCACTGTGATTCAGTGTTAACATACACTGATATATATTTAGTCTATGACACCTATCTTCAGACTAAAGCACGGGGATATTCGACCAATACTGTTATAACTAAATATCAATTTATTTTTTCAAATTTAAACATATTCAAGTATACATTTATTGATTATTTGTATTGCTATTGTTTTTATTTTAACTCCCAGGCAAATGTTATCTTTAATTCGATTTTTTATGTAAAGGACAAAACAAAATTCTGAAAAATAATGTTAAAATAACATTTTTTATGTGTGTTTAGATCTGATCCATAGATCAGAAATAAGACCTGTATATGTTTCATATGCATTGCCTCACTTTTGGAATTAATATATTATATTTTTAATGTTCCGCCAAACAATGAATTGACCGTACCACAATAACTTATGGAAATCGTCTTGTTTATTACATATTTTGTTTACACAAAAAATACAAAAAACTATATTTTAGACATGTGTTTTTACCTTGCAAGAAAAACAGTGACAAACATAATACATAAACGTGTACAAAGTTTCAATAACCAACTGAGCTTTGAATAATTTTCAATGTTTAAGTATCTTCCCTTACAAAAAGTGCTGCGGTAATTCAGAAACCATTTAAAAACTATAACAGTCGTTAAATAAAGCATCATAGGTACAAATATCAAATAGTTTCAAACTTAAAATCTAATAATTAAATATTCTAAATCCGAGTTTATCATCTGAAAAAAAATAACATGTATTTGAAAAACATTATACTGTTATTCTGCGTGTCGTTATACTTTTTGCAATGTCAGAGCGATCATCGACCAACTCGTGGGGAGCGTGTAAGTATATTAAGCACTTATTAATTAGGTACGATTTATAGAAATTTCTGTGATAACCACACTTATAAATAAAAATACATAAAACAATAAGAAAAATCACTATGAAATGAATGTTATCACGCTGCAAAAATCCGAAAAGCATATAATACGTCTGGCAGTTTGGGGTTTTAATTTTTGTTTTTAAACTGTAATATTTATTCTAATGTCTAATTTTTATTCGGAAAACAATAGTGGATAATTAGTGACATAGTCAATAAGTATGCAAATTCCAAAGGCATAGGCAACAAAGAAAATGGCGATCTGAACCTAATAGGCGTAAAAGAAGTCATTGAAAAAGTAGAAAAACAATTCCGAAAGACAAAGGACAGAAGACAAGGAAAAAAACCAAGGACTTCGCAGTGTTGAGGAATTGCAAACGACATTATCAAGTAATAAAGAGAAGAAAATATCCAATAAATGTATTGAGTTAAATGTCATTTGTATAAATATAATCTCTTCTATAATACAGAGTGATACTTTTATCATGAACCACTCAATATCTCTTAGGGTTCAATAAAAAATTAAAATAATTTTTTTTTCATATTGTTGTTATACAATGTGATCTCAATTTTTCACAATTATTTTTGTTTTTACCAACCTCCCGACTTGGTTTTTTTTGATAGCAACTTTTGAAACTTAAATGGTAACGTACATATTTTAATAATTTTTTAATTGAGAATAATGTACTAAAAATGTTGACTGGTTAACCAGTTTCGGATAACTTTTTTCAATATTCTTTCGAGGTAAAATAGACCTAATTCGATTATTTAAAAAATGTAAAACTTGTTTTCAATTTCAGACTATGTTTTCACATTACTCGATGTCATAACATACGTTGACGAATACGCAGGATTAGATACGGAACGGAAAAGCATTTGGTAAATACAAATTGCTGATTTTGTCCCCAAAGAAACGGAGTAAATACAAAAAAGATTATTGTTTTTTCCTCATATGAAAAATGCTTTAAACGCTATGAAATTTATATGATTATGCGAAAAAAAATCTCTTGGTTAGGTATTCGTATGTCGATATAGAAAAATCGGTTATTGCTCTAATTGTTTTAACACCCTACACAAGTTTATTCTTAAACTAATAATTAAAATTTGACATTTTGTTGATACTCTTTTTGAAAACATTCTAATGTCTAGTTTTTATTCTATAACCAATAGCAAATACTAGCAAGGCTATTCTATGAGTATGGTGGGCCTAATACACAAATAAAATTTCAACATTTAAAACGCCTACTAGACCGAGTTGATTGGGGAAAAAAGTTGTATCATGTCATATTTCCATATCATATGTTCCCGAAAACCTCGATACCGTACAAATTGGAAAAATCAGGTAATAATCAATATAACCAATAAATGTATTGAGTAAAATGATTAAAACCATTGAAAAAACATTGTAGGAATGAAGTATGTGTCATATTTATTGCTGAAAATTATAATTATTTTTTTAACTAAAAAATCATAATTCTCGGACAAGACAAACTACAAAATAATTTTAAAAATTAATTTTTTAAACTGTACTAATAATGTAAAATTTAAATTTATATTATTATACTTCACCTACAACTTTTTGAAAAAAAAAAAAAGTTGAAAGTGTAAAGCATTTTTATTCACGATTTATATGCTTTTAAATTGACCTCATTCCGTTTATTAAAAAATGTCTAATATTTTGTACTTTCAGAAAACAAGTTTACCAGGGACGAAGTTGAGTTCATCGTCACTGATTACTTTTTTCCTGAACAGATTGATTCAGATGAAGACTTCTTTAATAGGATTTAGTTAGTTAAATAAATAATTAAGTAATTATTTATATAAGTATATTGATATTTATCTGGTTCGTCACATACAAGCATTGTAGTTTTTGATTAAATTATAACTAATTTTATTCTTTTATTTTGTTAGAATTTATTTGATTACTTTAAGTATAAAATCATTAATATTTTTGAAAAATAATGTTTACTTTAGCTTTGCATTGAAATTATAATTACTGCCTATCTAAGGAATAGACAAAAGTATAAATGTACCCAAAATGATTGAATAAAAGACAAATAATATTTTATAAGAGATAAACAATTCATTTGTTTAAAAATTGTTCGATGTGTATAAGAAATATATTTGTACGTATACGTTTCAACTATTTGTTTATTTATTTCTGGTATACAACATACATTTAAGGATCTGTAGCGAATGAACTGTATCAGACAAAGTTCTTAAACTCTTTACTGCACTTCTACATGCCAAGATGGTTCTAACAAAATCATAACCCGTCGTATATTAACTTATGTATTAAGCTAAGGCCTAAGAAACGTATCAATTTCTCATTTTTAGTGTATGGCATTTTGTTTTTTTTTTTTACTAAAAAGTGGTTCTGTTTCTATTAAGTGCCTACAAAAAGTACGGTTATACGTGTTGTAATTGTTTTTCAATCAGTAAAGTTGAAATAATATTATTTTTTTTATTTTTTTTTTTTCTAAATATTTCAAATATTTTCTGGTAAAGAACATTGCATATACTTATGTAGGTATTCTAATAAATTTCAATAAATTTGAATTAAATTATACACGAGGGCATCCTTTATCATAATTTGAGAATATGCATGCCTATTAAAAGTTAGATTAAAATTTCCAATCGATCAGACCATTTTTCACGACTTTATAGCTACTAAAATTGAAAGATGAAAAATTTGCAATCATTAGGGATTTAAAAGTAAAACAAGGTTTTATTTCGCGACAATTAACTCAATTTAGCCCTTCCTTCGTTTATGATATATGGTGATTTTCAGGAAACAAATATTAGATAAATCCTCAAATTTTTTATTTGGCATTTTGACCCATTTTTATTTTTCTACACCGGAACGTATTGAAATCACGGTGTACTTTATTTGTCTCATGTTTTTAAAAAAAAATGATCGAAGTAAGGAAAATAAACACGTCTTGATAATATGATGTTTTGTATTGACTTATTCAAACAGATGCCTGTTGGTCGTACACAAATGCGTGCAATAAACAAAAAATATATCCAAGGAACAAAAGCCCGATAAAAAATGTTATGAGTACATCTACTGTGACCTCATTATAATAATAAGGTCTTCAGAAACCAATATTTTGTGTAGCCATAGCTCATTTATCATAGAAAAAAAACAGTTTAATATTTTACTTAAAAACGTAAAAGCGAATAAGAAAAAAACAAAATGTGTTTTTATGATTCACACCTAGAATAACAAAAAGCCGGTACAGTGGGGTCGGGGCATAGGTGGGACGGAGAAGACGCAGGTCTTGCAATAAGTAAAAAAATCAATAAAAGCTTTACAAATTAGATGGTATTCAATTCGGTGTTATTTTTTAACAAAATTTGACTACCAAAAAATTTGCAATCGTTAATTTTTTTGAGGGGGTGGAGAAATTCATATTTTAAAAAATTCTAATGTAATGAGCTTAGAATCAACTTTTTAACTCTTAGAGTTTGAGAGAAAATGGAAAATCAGGCATTTAACATTTTGATGAGATCAAGTAGGTACCGATCTACCGGTATGTTATTTAATCCATGATAACAATGTGTATTATGCTAAGACAAATATCTAGATTTTCATTTTTAGTGTATGTAGCAGTTTGTTTTTTATTGCTTTTCACGAAAATCTCTTAGAGTCACAGCCTCGAATTTTTTTTTAATTTTAATTACCATATGTACTCGATTTTTAATATTCAAGAAAGTATAAAATAATAAATAAACTATAATATTAAATTATATTGCCTATTAAGCTCGCACGGCGATAGTTATTTCATATTAATAGTCTATACTCTGGTATTTAGTCTATGAGACCTATCTTCAGACTAAGGCAACTAAATATTGATTTATTTTTTCAAATTTAAACATACTCATGTATACATTTATTGATAATTATTATAGCTATTATTTTTGTTTTAACTCCCAAAAGTGCAAACGTTATCTTTATTTCGATTTTTTATGTAAAGTACAGAACAAAAGTCTGAAAAAAATATGTTGAAAGAACATCTTCTGTGACCTCATTACAATAATAAAAAAATAGCTTTGTCGGGCAATTCATAAAGTAATATTAATTTATTATTAGGTTTGATTACAAATTTGTTAAGCTATTAACATAATATAAGGGGGTAAGGTGAAGAAAAAGGACAAATTAGTATGCATCCAAGTATAATGGAAAATTTTCAAAATAAACAAACAAATATTTTATTTCTTGTACTATATTTATTAAATCGTCAGCAGTTATACAAATTAATTAAATTACCTATTGATTGTTGACAACTGGTTATTCCTGTATGTAAGTAATATTCTTGTGCATAATGCGTATTTCATACAATTATATATTGTAATACCTGAACAAATATATATTTTTTAAATATGTTTTTGTCTTGCAATAAGTAAAAAAGCAATGAAAACTTGCACCTAACCGTGCCAGATACTACATACGGAAATCGTCTTGTTTTTTACTTATTTTGTTTACAAAAAGAATACAATATACTTTTCTTTAGGCGTGTGTTTTTTACCTTGCCAAGAAAACAATGCCAGCAATAATACATAAACGTGTAGAAAGTTCCAATAACCTACTAAGCTGTGAGCTGTTTTCAATCTTTAAGTATCTTTCCTTACAATAAGTACCTACTGCGGTAAATCAGAAACCATTTTAAAACTATAACTATAGCCACTTTGTCTTTATTTTTTTAACAATATATTAATGACAGTCGTTAAATAAAGCATCAGTACAAATATCAAATAGTTTCAAATTTAAAACCTAATAATTAAATATTCTAAATCCGAGTTTATCATCTGAAAAAAAATAACATGTATTTGAAAAACATTATACTGTTGTTCTGCGTGTCGGTATACTTTTTGCAATGTCAGGGTGATCATCGACCAACTCGTGGGGAGCGTGTAAGTATATTAAGCACTTATTAATTAGGTACGATTTATAGAAATTTCTGTGATAACTACACTTGTAAATAAAAATACATAAAACAATAAGAAAAATCACTATGAAATGAATGTTATCACGCTGCAAAAATCCGAAAAGCATATAATATGTCTGGTAGTTTGGGGTTTTAATTTTGTTTTTAAACTGTTATATATTCTAATGTCTAATTTTTATTCGGAAAACAAAAGAGAATAATTAGCGACATAGTCGATAAGTATGCAAATTCCAAAGGCATAGGCAACAAAGAAAATGGCGATCTGAACCTAATAGGCGTAAAAGAAGTCATTGAAAAAGTAGAAAAACAATTCCGAAAGACAAAGGACAAAGAAGAAATTAAAAACAAAGGACTTTGCAGTGTTGAGGAATTGCAAACGACATTATCAAGTAATAAACAGTAGAAAAATATCCAATAAATGTGTAGAGTTAAATGTCATTTGTGTAGATGTAAATTCTTCTATAAATTTTAACAAAAAATCTTAACTATTAAAAATATGTTAACTATCTTAAAAGTTAGTAAAATGTGAGTTACAAGATCACTTTTTTTTTTTTTAGTTACAAATTTTGATAAAACTGTATAATTTAAATCACAATATTTTATATCAAAATGTTACATATCATTATTTTCAATACTCCTTCGAGGTATAATAGACCTAATTCGGTTATTTAAAAAATGTACAAACTTGTTTTCAATTTCAGGCTATGTTTTCACATTACTAGATGTCATAACATACGTTGATGAATACGCAGGATTAGATACGGATACGGAAAAGCATTTGGTAAATACAAATTGCTGATTTTGTCCCCAATGAAACGGAGTAAATACAAAAAAGATTATTGGTTTTTCCTCATATGAAAAATGCTTTAAACGCTATGAAATTTATATGATTATGCCAAAAAAAATCTTTTCGTTGGGTATTCGTATGTCGCTATAGAAAAATTGGTTATTGCTTTAATTTTTTTAACACCCTACACAAGTTTATTCTTAAGCCAATTGACATTTTGTTGCTACTCTTTTGGAAAACATTCTAATGTCTAGTTTTTATTCTAAAACGTTTAGCTAGAACTAGCAACGCTATTCAAACAGTATGGTGGGCCTAATACACAAATAAAATTTCAACATTTAAAACGCCTACTGGACCAAGTATATTGGTGTAAAAAGTTGTGCTATTTCGTATTTCCATATCGTAAGTTCCCGAAAACCTCGATACCGTACAAATTGGAAAAATCAGGTAATAATCAATATAACCAATAAATGTATTGAGTAAAATGATTAAAACCATTGAAAAAACATTGTAGGATTGAAGTATGTGTCATATTTATTGCTGTAAATTATAATTATGTTTTAAACTAAAAAATCATAATTCTCGGACAAGACAAACTACAAAATAATTTAAAAAATTAATTTTTTTAACTGTACTAATAATGCAAAATTGAAATTTATATTATTATACTTCTCCTACAACTATTTGAAATTAAAAAAAAGTTGAAAGTGTCACGCATTTTTATTCACGATTTATATGCTTTTAAATTGACCTCATTCCGTTTATTAAAAAATGTCTAATATTTTGTACTTTCAGAAAACAAGTTTACCAGGGACGAAGTTGAGTTCATCGTCACTGATTACTTTTTTCCTAAACAAATTGAATCAGATAATAATGACTGGTTTTTAAGTCAATTAAATAAATAATTAAGTAATTATTTATATAAGTATATTGATATTTATCTGGTTCGTCACATACAATTATTGTAGATTTGATTAAATTATAAATCATTTTGCTCTTTTGTTTTGTTAGAATTTATTTGATTACTTTAAGTATAAAATCATTAATATTTTTGAAAAATAATGTTTGCTTTAGCTTTGCATTGAAATTATAATTACAGCCTATCTAAGGAATAGACAAAAGTATAAATGTACCCAAAATTATTGAATAAAAGATAAATAATACTTTTAAGATTTAAATAATTCATTCGCTTAAAAGTTGTTCGATGTGTATAAAAAATATATTTGTACGTACTCGTTTTAACTTTTTGTTTATTTATTTCTGGTATACCACATACAACTTTAAGGATCTGTAGTGAATGAACTATATCAGACAAAGTTCTTAAACTCTTTACCGCACTTCTACATGCCAAAATGATTTTAACAAAATTTTTAATTGCAATATCCGTTAATCGTTTTCAGAGATCTGCGGCGTAACCAAGAAAAATTTAGCTAAGATGTTTAAGTTTCTTAATTCATATTTTATATCTCACGCAAAGCCCTCTGCGATGAGCTTATAAACAACTTTTTATCTCTTATAGTTTAGGATAAACCTGAAAATTAGGCGTTTATAATATTTAAGGACAAATGTTTTCTTTATTTTGCTTTTTCATTTGTAATACAGGACTAAAATCTACAAAAAAAAAGTATTAAAAGAACATCTGCGGTGACCTTATTACAAAACAAGGTATTCAGAAAACTTAGACAATTATTTTAACATCAATGGTCTAATTAACAAAAAAAAAAATTTTTTGCCCATATCTTGTTTTATTATTTGTGTTTCAGGTTGTTTAAATTTGCATGCATGATAGTACCATATTGTTACAAATATTATAGCGCATACACATTTTATATAATAAACAATAACAATACTTAAAAATATGTTTTTTCTACTACGTGTATCTGGTTTTCTAGTTACTATATTTTTAATATTTTGTGCATATTGTTAAAACAAATGTATCGTTAGCTTACTAAAGCTAACTTTTAAAGAACACTTTACTTTTTGTTTGTTTTACACATATTATAGGTATATGTTAGACCTATCATCAGACTAATTTCCATCTCTTATTTACTAAATTGCAGCTAAAAAATAATATCGCAATAAGCTCTTCACAGTTAAAAAATAATATCAAATAATTCAAAATCATAAACATAATTTAAATATGAGGTTTGATTAGACTGTATTTCTCGAAATTATAGCCAGTAAAAGTTTTAACTTAAAAATTTGTATGGTTTGTTTTTGTTTTTTTCAATATTTTTTACTTTGAAGATGTAAACTTTTTCAACTTTTACTCCCCAACAAGTACCAAGTAGACGAAATTTGTAATTTATAGAGTTGCTACTCGAAGGAATTGGTCCAGAATTAAAAAAGTTACAGTGTATACATACACATAAAAAGACCACATCATAGTAAAACCAATAGCACTTCTGCTCTGCATCGAAGCTAAAAGTCGGAGGGCCTTAGGTCTTTAGAAAATATGATAAAATTACTCTAAAAAAAAAATTCTTTGATGATAATCTATGCAAACAATCAAAACATAGCCAAACTATACACGTTATTTAATAGTACCAAAATGTGTCCGCAAGACGATTCGGTATAATTGCTGGTTAAAAGGCTGGAGCTTTGTTTTATTAAATGTATATACATATATAGCAGGCATCCAACCTTAGGAGACTTATAGTGTGTTACTAAGGACCCTTCACTCAAGGTATATACCAAAATTGAGCTTTCCAACCTTTGTTTTCTAATTCGCCTAGACTATTACCAGCATTATGCTAAAAGAATTACTTCTCCTTTTTTGGTCTAGCCCTACTTCGATTGAAAACTATGCGTTTTGTAAATTTAATTATTCAGAATAAACAATAATGTCTTACGCTGAGCTCAAAATATAGCAAACATAGTTGAAATGATCTTTGATTAGAAGTTATGAAAACGCTAATAGAACATAATATTAAAAAGTTTAATACCAGACGCATGTAGATTAACAGTCAAAGTGAATAGAATTTTTTACATAAAACGTCGACGCTAATAATTACCAGTACTATAAATTCTGTAATTACCATTGTGCTCTATAAAATGCCTAGTTTTTTCTAATAAATACACATTTAACGACACAATTAACGCAACGCGTGACGATTTCCAACGTTCATATCGAAATAATACTTTTTATTGATTGAAAAAATATGTTATCTACATTTTTAACGTAATTTGTAATTTAAAAAATGTAAATTTTAATTAGTAAAACAGCGTTGTTATTTAAAAGTTAGTTTTAACAAGCGGTATAAATATCCGTGGAACAAAGTCCATTATCATCAGTAAATGTTTCTGTGTCGTAACAATAAATAAACTACATACTTTAAAAAATGCATTTTTTCAATACAATCAAAGTTTGCACTGTCCTGGCGGCGGTTTTGGTGTGTATAATAATACTACTCGATAAATAATATTATAATAATATTACCCTAAATAAAAAAAAAAATTATTAATTTAGTTTATTGTAATATTTTTGTGTCAGGGCTATTTTAATAACAGGACTTCTTGGTAAAAATAACATTGATTTAAAAAAAAAAAAGCTAGTATGCGGTATAGTCTATACAATGTAAAAAATGTAATTGAAAAAAATCCAAACCCCAACAGCTGCTATTGTCTTAGTCATTATTCCAAACACACGACTTATGGAACCGACCGGGGTTTTTTGCATCCCAAAATGAGCAGTTCAAATTAATTTTTTAAAACATGTTTTGTGTTCTTAGGGCATTGCGTATGGCCGCCAGATGATAAGAGATGCAACCGATCATGAGTCAATGGATGTTGACCCCGGGTGGGGTCACATAGGTCCAATGTGGGGTTAGAATAGACATTGGATTGCCAACGACAGTGCGGCCAAAAACCATCAATAATTGAATGTCTTTTTAATTTTATTTTTTTTTGCCATAACGATATTATAATACACACATAATGTCGAATAAAATCATACCGTTTGTTTAACATGTACGAAAAATATTACAATATAGATGGTGTGATAATCTTACCAACGTGTTATTCCAATCGATATAGCCATTACATACCCCCACCTACTTTAAATGTTATTTAAAAGCTGACTTATAAGTTTGATTAAAATAGCGGTAAACGCCGTTCCAAAGGTATGTCAAAAGACAGAAAAGTCAAGAGAGATAATATTTGGGCAATGGGGAAGAAGTGAGAAAATATAAACGGGTAAGCAGAATAAAGCGATGCGTTTTATATGATCAGAAAGTCCATACAAGATCTGAGTGGCTTTATAGATTCTGATCGGTATGTTTATCTAGAAGTGATTTTTTACTACTTTCAGTAAATATAATCTAAAAAACCACAAGGGTTTTCTCTTGGACAAGTTCTTGCTATTTGTACGGACATAATTGTTTTTGTAAAATAGTCGAATTGGTTCCAAACTGTGTGGTATACTCTTTAAGCGAGTATAGTACCGTTGATAAACAATAAAAACAAACCGAGCAAATACTATTGGCCTGTTTTCCTAAAAGGTGTAGAATCTTTTTCTTTATTTGTTATTTTAACCGTAGTTTTTTGAAATTCTAATAAGACTTAAAGTAGAGCGCATCTCGTTTACATCTAAATATGTTTTTTTTTTTTATTTAATTTATCATGAAAAGATTTTTACACACAAAAATACTGTCGACAAACTCGAAAACAATATCATACACATTACAATATAAAACCAAAAAGCTGCAACAAAGCGAACAAATACCGAACTGTGTTTAAATAATATATTTCAGTAGTCGATGCCGTTTGTAAAAATAAAAACAACGACAACAACAACAGCGCAAAACGTAAAAACAATAAAATCGAATAAAAGTTAGAAACGATTGTATGATAATTAGGTAAATTTGTATATTGTACAGATAAGTAAAAGGGAAACCAGTTAAAGGTTGGTGTGGCGATCGGAAAAAAGAGAGCAAATTTAATAAATAAAAAAAATGGATAAGCAAATTAGTGTAATGGGTTTTGTACGTGCAGCAAAAGCCCATAAAAAAAGCCAGTGTACTAAATAATAAATAAAATTGAAAAATTAAAAGTGTAAAAATCTTCTAAAAATAAACTTTTTGAATTCACTAGCTGACTAGTCTTGAAAATGTTATTGTATCAACAAAGAAACTTAATAGTTTAGACAGATTTACAAAAAAAAAAAAAAATTGCCATAATTTGGTGTCTGGTGTTTACTGTTTTTTCTATATTTTTTAATAAATATTATTTGGCTCTTTACGTCTGATGATTTTTTATCATCAACACAATGACTATATTATTTAGACTCCTCGTGTCCACCATTTCAAAACAACAATGGCTTATTAAAATCCTCTCTCGCCTAGACGTGTTCTCTACCTTTCCATGTCATCATTACTTCAATAAAATTACTTTCAAACTTGTATGGGATATTCTCTATGTACAGCACTATTATTATACACAGACTAAGCCAGTACAGTCCAAAACAAGTACAGTACTGAATAAGCATAGTACTCTCAGGTTCACATCGAAGGGTTTTCTTAATCTAAATAGGGTGGAACACTATACTGTATAAACATTGAACATGGATATTTTTCGTTAGGACTTGTAAATTAAAAAAAAAAAAAATATGTTCACTCGTTACCACAACAGTACGTTTGATATGAAAACATTTAAAGTCATGAAAACCAAGTTGTATTTTTTTTAAAAACCACATGTCTTAGCAATAATATTGTACGACGTTAAACGTTACAACTAGAATAGATATTTATTTCAAAGTGTGAATATTACAGCAACCATGAAATTGCTGAATGATTGGAGAAATATAGATTATATTTGGTTAATTACTATAAGTGTAAATTATATTTAAGATGGCGCTTAACCGTTGCAATAAATTCGATTTTAAAATCATCCACGACAGTTTTCTTCCATTACACATGTTGTATAGAAACAATTAAATTTCAAATAATTA